TATTGTTTCTGTGCCTGTGCTACTTTGATATCTTGTTCCAAATGTAAAATGTGATCTAAAGTTTGTCGGTTTGGAGTGAAGCCACTCTGGTCCTCTTTTAAAAGGATTTTATTTAGGATTTGGTGTTTTAGCCTGTTGTTTGCAATGGTTTCGAGGGTTTTACATAAGTGGGAAGTGAATGAGATGGGGCGGAATGAATCTGGGTTGTTATTTGGTTTGCCGGGTTTGGGGATTGGTACCACCCTGGCTGTTTTCCATGAAGGTGGGTAGTTGGTGGAGCTACTAGTGGCCGAGAAGTGGGCAGCAATGGCGTTAGCCTTATCTTTGTTTGTGGTGAGGTCCGGAAGGTTGGGTGAAATGATTTTTTTGGAAATGCCATTTATGGCTTTAAATTTATTCCACATTTGCCGAGTGTTAGCTTTGTTTAGCCTGAGGGTTGAACAGAATTTTCTCCAATGTTGGATTTTTGCTGCCTTTATAAGTTGTTTAGTATTATATCGTAGTTTTTTGGCCAAATACAATTTTGAGCGCTCCCTTTTTGATTGATTAAGGGCCTTTTTTCTTGCCTTTCTGGCATTTATGATATCTGTGCTCCACCGGGGGACTGTTTTTAGTGGTGTTGGTCCGAATAGAGGGTATGCATTTTTTTGTGATGTTTATAATGGCGTTTGTGTAGTTGTTGTTGAATGTGTCTATGTCTTGGCTATAGATGTTGTTTATGTCTAGTTGTTTGCAAAGTGTGGTAAATTTGTGCCAGTCTGCTTTTTTCAGGTTGAACTTTAGTTCAGCGGAGGGTGATTGTGTATTGTTGGTGGTGTTTGTTGTTGTTGGGGGGTTGTGTGATGTAATTGTGATTTTTATGGGGCAGTGGTCACTGCCCCAGGTGTCGTTGTGGACCTCCCATGTACAAGATTGTGTTAGTTTAGGTGTGGTGAATGTGATATCTATGGCTGTAGGTGATTGTAGGTGGGAGAGTGGGTATCTTGTGGGTTGGTTGTCGTTTAGTGAGGATAGATTGTGTTTATCTAGCCAGTCGGATAGTCGGGTTCCATTAATATCGGTTAAAGGTCTTGTGCCCCACAGTGGGTGATGTGCGTTGAAATCTCCGAGGATAATGGTTTATGGGCTTATGAATTTGGAGAGTATTTGAAAATATAGCCTGGTATTTTGAAGGCATTTTTGGGTGATAATCTGGTGTGGGTAGGAGTGGTTGTTTAGGTTTGTGTGGTTTTGTGCAGGTTTGGATGGGGAGAGGGGTATGTTTGGGTGGGTGGTGGGTGAGTGGGTTTGGAGGTGGGTTGGGTGTGGCGTGGCTTGGATGGTTTGGTAGGGGGCGGGGCTTGGATGGTTTGGTAGGGGCCGGGGGGCTGAGGATTGAGCTGATGGAGGTGTTAGCAGATGGGGTAGATGATGATACTGAGAGGAGAGAGTGGTAAGCTAGTAGAGTGCGTGCTGGTTTTGGCAGGTCGGTGTGTTATATGTGTTTATTGAGATTTAGTATGTGTTTTGGTTTGATTGGGCATGTATTTTGTGTTGAGGTGTGTCCGATTGTGTCGCAGTGGATGCAATATTTTTGCCATGTGCATTCGTCAATTGTTTGGCTGTCCGACCCGCATTTGGGGCATAGCATGGGTGATTTGCAAGTGTTGGTTGTGTGTGTGTAGGAGAAGCAGTATTTACATTGTTGTGGTTTTTTACTCATTTGGTGTACTTTGTATGTTAATGCACCGAAGGTGATGTGTGTGGGGAATGTGATGGTGTTGAAGGTAAGACAGGTTGTTTGGGTATTGGTATTGTAAGTGGTGGGTTGTCTGTTGTTAATTGTGCGGAACTGAGTGATTTTAGGTTGTGTCGGAATGGTGTTGGCTATGTCTATGTAATGTTGGATGTCAATTTCAGAATCCCTGGCGTCGATGTGTATTACCCCTTGTATCGATGTTTGCAACCGTGGTATTTACCAGCTGATTTGTACTTGTACTGGATTTGTTGTTGTTTGAGGCATAGTGCGAACTTGTTGATGGAGTATGTGTGTTTTGGAGGTGTGTGTGTGTTGGTGGCGAAAGTTAGGAGAATGTGTTTGATGGGTTGGGATGGGGTGGGTGGGTGTATCTTGGGCCAGTGGTTTTTGTTGGATTGGTTGTTTTCAGTAGGTGAGATGTGTGGTCATTTTGCTGTTTAGTGGTTTTGCCTTCGGTGGTTGTGGGTTGTGGGGGTGGGGGTGGGGGTGGGGTGTGTGTGTGTGTGTGTAATTGATAGGTCGGGCAGTATGGCTTCAAGGCCGAGACCAAAGTTTATAGGGATTGGGTCTATCTGGTGTGGGGATTTGAGCTGTGGAAATTCTTTAGTTGGGGTGGAGAAAAGGGAAGACATGAGTGGGGAGGCCATGATGCCTTGGGTGGGGAGGTGGGGGAGAGGGGTATTGATTTGTTTGGGGGTGGGGAGGATGGAATGAGTATGTACACTATATATATATAAAATACAAACAAATTACAAAAGAGCATATATACAACTGAGAAAGATGAAAACAAACTGTGAGAGAAGTAAGTATTGATTGTCTTTGGGTTGATTTAAAGTCTATATACAAGAGTCAAAATGGCAAACACTTGCGGCTTGTCTTGTGTTGGCTTGGGTGGCCACGGCACGGCGGCCGGTGGGGTGGGGGTGTCGGGTGGCTGTGCTGTAGGCTGATGTCTGTGATTTGTAGAGGAGGAGGGTTGATTAGGTGAGATCAATGAAGATGTGATGAATGGTGGCGATCGGGTCCAGGCGTACCTTGTACGTCCAGCTCCAAGCGAAGCGAAAAATGACTGTGAATGTGAATGAATGAATCGAGTGTAGAAAGTCACGTCAGCTACAAACGAAGCACAGAGAGCGATCACATGATTAGGAAACTTCTTGAAGCTATAAATATCCAACGCTTCAACCCCACCATGAACCGGGATCCAGGTTATTTTATCTCTTCAGCCTATCACCACCTAATTAAAGATCACCAGTAATCCACCCATACCTCGTCTAACTGGCTTCTATGTATATTGTAATCACAACCAATCAATGTGAACATCAACCTACTCTCTCCAACTCACATTACCATATCAGTGTACATCAAGTCATCTATTATATAAACTCATTCTGCATATTGTTTTAATCACTATCACTCTGTACATCAACCAATTAGCAATCCAATGTATATCAACCTTGTCAATTGTATATACACACTATGCAGCTATGTATATATTCTCCATGTTACAACTCTATGTATCACTTGCTTGATAAAGGTGTTAGTACCTACAGTGAAACGTCGCACCCATTGCAATAAAGAAGTTGACTATCCATAGAAGTTGGTTTTCCTTCACAAGAGTAGATGTTGCATAGCAAAGAATACACTGATTTCTTGTCTCACTCATAAATCGAAATGTCTGTTTTAATGTTGTATCTTTTTACAATTTTTTATGATCATATATTTTTATTATCATCGATGATGTCTCAAAATTATGTTACACCCATTTTATGCCATTGCTGTTTATAAAATTAGTTTCAGTCCCAATTCTAATAGAATTGCTGTACCAAATAGCTTTTGACATAATCTCTTCATCACTTCTGTTTTCACCATTATCACAACGATACAAATATGTTCACCATGAGCAAAGAACCTCCTTCCAAAGTCTATCGTGAATGCAAGGAGTAATCTTCCCTATAATATAGCTGCAATCTGCTAAACAGAAATACATTCAAGTCTATGATATCCTCTATGTCCAGATGGCATATGCTGTAGATGAACCTCTCAATACAACTAGTTTTTGTGCTACAATAACTGTGTTTACCCTTCCAAATAAACTGATAACACCTTTTTTTAAATCTTCCACAGTTTTTTAGGGGCATGGGATACTATTTAAGAAAATATCTAATTTTTGGAAGTAGGACTGACTTCAATACAACATTACTACCCAAGTGTGTAAAGGTTCTTTTTATCCAAAATGCCATTTCAGTTTTCAGTTTTCAGTTTTCTCAACCTCTTGGTATTATTCAATTCATATATTGGCACTTTCTCAGTAAAGGACAGATGCTACTTCTTTTGTTAGGTTGGGTCCCATCTGAGATTCCAACCCGCACTCTCAAAGTCAGCACCTAATCCTCAGCACACAAAGTCAGGAGTCTAACCCACTTAGCAACCGCGGCTTCCACAAAATTCAAGACGGACAACTGGTGGTGCAGACCCATCAGACAGGTGTAAACTGGCACGACTAGGAAGCTATGAATACGCAGTGGAATTTAGAAAGTGGTCACTTGCTACTCCGTTTGTTATAGTGCGAATGAAACCCTTCACTGCAACGTTACGTTAGGGGGACACGCTGATGCACGGGAGATTTTGTGGACACGGAATGAATTATTTGTGAATTCTTACTTCACAGAATGTTCAAAATTATCAGCGAAGCGATCAGCATTGTCTAAAAGGAAACAGCCTTGTGTTAGCGCTCCCGCCCGTATCCATCAATAATCTAAATAGAGTCAACAAAACCCGATCCAATTATGAAACTTAAATCTAGAGATATATCCTTGCATATTGAATATTACTGACACACGAGTAAGAACCGATTTAATTATTGCTGTGATGTGTTGACTTTATAATGTGCATTTGTAGACATACATTGTGTTCTTCCCTGACTGTTGTCAAGAAAACATCACGCAGTTTCACACTAACGACATCTTTGCAAACACGCTGCCATATTTATCTTGAAGGGTGTGCTGGTTCATGTAAAGACTATCCAGACATGTCCATCTGAGTTTGCTTCAGGTTGGCAGATTTCATCAAAGATTGGCATTCAACAAAACCTGGATCTTTGAGACATATTCCGATGCACTTGCTAACTGCCTTTCCTTTGTTGGTGCTACTTTCACCATCATGGACGTTGGGTATCTATGACGATGCTCGAGATCTGCATACTTCTCTTCTGAAGAAATCTAACCCATGGATATTACCTGTCCGTAACCAAAGTGACACAATGTATATTTCCGTGGAATTTGAGCTGATCAAGGTGATATCTCTGGATGTTATAGGAGGATTTATCAAGACACACATATTTCTGAAATTTGAGTGGACGGATGAACTAATTCAGTGGAATGTCACCGAAAATTCAGAATATTTGAGATTCGAGAGGTCGAAGGTATGGGCCCCAGACATTGTCATCCAGGATTCCTTGGAGTATGTTCCTTATCTTGGATTCGACGTTCAACCTGTTTCAATATCATATCAAGGCATGGCTCTTATTGAGGTGCAAGTAAAACCAGAGACATCATGCAAAATGGATGTAACACGTTTCCCGTTTGATCAACAAACATGTGTTGTTATCATTGGCTCTGATAACTATAACGCGAATGAGCTGTACATGGATCGATTTGTTGCCTATGGTAGTCTCTTGACAGAAAATGGAGAATGGGATGCCTTTAATGTTGCAGCTCAGAATGAAACAGAACTAACTCAGATCTACCAAGGACATTATAAAAGTGTTGTTATCACTCTGAGGAGACGCCCTCTCTACTACGTGGTGAATCTTCTCCTGCCGATACTACTCATCTCCACACTCAACCCCACTGTGTTCCTGGTCAAGGCGGAGACGGGAGAGAAGCTGTCCACCTCCCTCACCTTATTCCTCTCCTTCACAATGTTTATATCAATTCTTAGTGGTATGCTTCCCCAGACCTCCACTAGCACCTCGCTTGTCTCCCTTTATGTGTGTCCAGCTCCACCTTAGTGGCCTCTATGTCATCGTCTGTATTGTCATCATTCGTGTCAGTAACATGAAGGAACTTAACACAGTGACGAGATTCATTGCCAAATGTACCAGCAGAACCAATAGGGTACGACAGACCACCGGAAAAGAGACAACAGAATCCCAAGACAGCACAAGTGAGATTGATGTTACTAAGTTACGTGACGTCAGTGACAAAATGGACAGATCCTGTTTCTTTGTCTCCGTCACTATACATCTGATCTTGACAACTCTTTTGATCTTCTTCATCGCCCTGTGAACGCTTTGGTATCTTCGTTTCACATCCAGCGAGAACCAGTCGAGCATGCTCCTTTCACAAAGAATTTCGAAGAAGCTCATGCCACCTTTGTACAACATGCACATCCTTGGTAAAGCTTACATTTCTTTCAAAGAACATTTACAAATTTGACGCATCAGTGAAAAAAACAACTGTTTCCCACTTGTTCCGTATATTTATGTGCTTTTCGTTATTGAAGAAGTGCCTTGCCTTTGCAGGTGTTTGTAATGGGTGTCACGAGTTGGTCAGCGTGCACAAACGTCGCCTTTTTTCGGTATCCTACATTGTTGAGGGTAATTCATGAACACTCATTATGATGTAACATGACTGTTACAATGGACTCGATATCACAGGACTGTGTCGCGTTTATAAGTTGTCAAACGGTTGTGCACGGAAGGTGTTTCTAAATAGATGAGGTGGACTTCACGGTGAGGGGTTAATATGGGAAGAAGAAAATAACAAAGCGTAATGCTGAAAAGAATTGGATTCCTTGACTTTAGTGATTGAACTCTTATCATTGAGAAAAAGATCTTGTCAGTTGTGTATAATTCGATACAATAGTCCAGCGGTTAATGTACCTTCACTTTCTCATTTATCTAGTCATGTCACTCACTCATATGATTTCTGAGACGTGATATAGAACTTAATCTAAAGATTAGAATGTTTACCGTTGAGTGTAATATTGACAGAGATTTTGGTTTATTTAAACGTCACTTGTAGTTTGAACACGATATGTTTCCAAAACATCTCTTTAAACATGTTCTTGTAATTATTGTACATGTGTTAATCGTTGTAAGAATTAATCATTAAATGTTCCATGTGTGTACATCAGTTATTTGATAGACGTGTGGTTTGCTTTTAATATTTCTTCAAGTCCTTTCTAATCGCATTTCGTGTGATAAATATGTTGTGTTATCTCTGTTTGGTTACTATTTATTTAGCATGACATGTTTTTTAAAGAAAAATGACAGATACTTACAATCCAACCAATATAGACTTGAAAATGTGCTGGAAACGTGGAGTTCGAAATGACGTTTGTTTCACAATGTTCAACTTTGTAATTCCCTCCTAACATACCATTTATCCTATGTTGTAGTCGATGGGTATCAAATAGACATTAATTCGATAAATCCGTTCTGAGGTTCAGAATGTCCTTGAATATCAGGGTGTCGGTGTGTATGAAAACTACCACTCTAACATTCTTCAGTGCAAATAGGTGTAAGAACGATAACAAATGTTTCATCGGCTCACAGTTATTTGCAATAACAATATTTATTGTGTCGTCATCCCACATTTGCCTTTGTACAAATGTTATTATGATGACATTCCGCCATTAATTAAAGGATTGTCTGTACAGGTAAGGTGGCTCTGTCTATTCCAGCAATATGGCAGCGGTCTGTAAATAATCGAATCTGGACCAGACAATTTAGTAATCAACCCCATGAGCATCGATCTTTGCAGTTGGGATGACGTGTGAATCAAGTCAGCGAGTCTGACCATCTCATTCCGCAAGTCACCTAATTCTAATCGAATCTGACATCGTCTTTTGTTGGTTACCCAGCCATGTTAGCATTTCTGGGAACACAATGGCCGATTTTGCTGCTAAGTCAGCACTCAACAAATCTGTGACACCACTTCTTATCCCATACTCTGATTACAAAGCTAGCATTAGAACTTACATCCGTGATCTGTTGCAGAAGATGTGGGACACCCAAGTAGTTATCAATAAATTACATGCAATAAAACCCTATATCGGTTACACCTACTTGGGTTGTCAGTCCAGATTTGAAGAGGTCATTATACGACGATGTCGCATTGGCCATACAAGATATACTCACGAATATTTATTGAAAGGCGAAGATCCTCAGTTTTGTATCCCTCGTGATGAAAGAATCACGGTCAAACATGTCTTGACTGTGTTGAATATTCCATCACAAGGGATAAGTATTTCATATCACGAACTATGAAGGATCTTTTTAACAATATAAGTTCTCATTTAATTATTGCATTTTCAAAAGAATTATATTTGTTGACTGATTTGTAAATAGATCAATATTTTATATTTGGAAATTTATATTAGTAATATATAAAGTTCTGTAAATATATCGTCCTCCTGAGAGGATACGTAAGTCCCAAAACATTCAAAGTAAATTAAAAGTTTTTAATCGTAGAATATGTGTCCTTTTAATGTATGGCTAGATTTCCTAGATTGCAAATGGCTGAAGGGATGGTGTAAATCCAGCTGGGGTCCATGCAGGAAGCAAATGTACTGTAATCCCCATGGTCCCTGGTGTGGTGATATACCTCCGGTTGTTGGCGATACATAGCCTGTTTTTATATTGCACTGTTGTCTCGCGTGATATATTTTGTATGATAGCGTAATAGTTTTAAATTAAGAGCTGTGATATTCTAGTAGTTTTACTGTCCTTCGATGACAGGTTTTTACGTTTTACATTTATTGATTTGAATATTGATATCAACTGTTTTTCGTCACGATATGGCTGCAATATTACCGATGTGACGTTAAATTTTAACCCACTCACTCTAATCGAATCTTCACATGTATCACGAAGTGGACACTATAGGCAAACATTGTTTGATGGGCATTCTAGAAGTTGGTGGCTCAAAAATGAAACATATGGATGACAACTTCTTATTTATTGCATAGAGCGACGTTTTGATGTAGATTCTTGCATCGTTATCAAGCTAAAAGTGAATACAATCAGATGTAGAGGAGTATATGTACACAGTATGTTTTGACAACAGCAGAGTAACATTAACAACAACATGTAATTGAATAACAACTGGTACATAATTATGAGAGGCCAGTGGGAGACTAAGAACAACAAATGAGACAGGGAACGAAGCCAATAAACAAAGGGGGTTTAAGTTGTAATAACAAGCTGATTGGATGCTTATAGAGTCTATAGTTTGATTAGTTCTTCATAGGCAACTCTGTAGCGCTATCAAAAAGGCATGCCGCTACAAATACTATTGTCATTGAACATATATGATGCGAGATGCGAGATGCAAGCCACAACCCACACTCAAAACCTTAAACATTGTGACCCACAGTAACTATCACTTAATCAATGTGATATTACAAACTACAAAAAGCACACTCTCATAACACCGTCATTCAAAGGTTCACCACCAGCGAAGTTATGGATACACATACAGACTGTAATATCGAATTGTTTTCTTACATACATGACTAAATAACGAGTCAACATTTTCATGTAGCATTTATCCTATTGTTACGATTTAATAATTGCCGTGACAAGCAAAGCAGAATTCAGTAAGTGAGTGAGTTTAGTTTTACGCCGCACTCAGCAATATTGCAGCTAAATGGCGGCCGTCTGTAACCAGACATTCCAGTGATCTACAGCATGAGCATCGATCTACGCAACTGAGATACGATGGCATGTGTCCACCACGTCGGCGAGCCTGACCACTCGATCCCGTTAGTCGCCTTTTACGACAAGCATGGGTTACTGAAGATCAATTCTAACCCTGATCTTCATGGGTAAGAACTCAGACAAGTCTATGATTTTCAATAATATATTCGGGGGCGGTGGGGTACCCCAGTGATTAAAGCGTTCGTTCGTCACGCCGAAAACCCGGGTTCGATTCCCCACATGGGTACAATGTGTAAAGCCCATTTCTGGTGTCCTCCATCGTGATATTGCTGGAATATTGCTAAAAGCGGCGTTAAACTAAACTCAATCACTCACTCAATAATATATTGAATAAACAATGAGCAAGGTTACACTGAATGACAGTACAGATTTCTAAAACAATACTATTGAGTCTCAAATCTAACAAATTGGGTTGCTAATCTAAAATATTAACTAAATGTCTACAGTTACCACAGTCTTGATTCAGGTGAAATAACGTAGCCTAAGTTCAAGATGCGAGTTCAAATCCACACTCAACGCTTTAAACTTTTGTGACCCATAATAACTAAAAGTTAATTAATGTGACATAATTAGCAAAAAAAACCCATCCTCATAACGCAACTCCATTTCATTATTCTCGTGAGCCAAGTTTGCACGATTGTTTACCTATACTTAATGTTTACATAATGTTTAATGCAAATTTTGCGAAAACCGCCTCACTAATTTTCAGAGATACATCCATATATTTTTAACAGACGTTTTACTTTCTTGGCCAACATAGAAATGATAATAAATACTTATATTTTCACGCTTGACTGCATGTTACCAATGCCAATCATACGAGTGATAAACGTCTAAGACTCGCATCACTTCAGGATTCTTCTTATTTGAAGCTAACACGCATTGATATACCTGATATACTGCTCAAAGCGATGTCAAACCCAGCACGTTGTCAAGTCAAGTCAAAAAGGTTTATTGTACAGAAGACCTCTGGCCCATATACAAGAGAGTATGTATACATCATACTGTTACACACAGGAAGTAACACGTTCTTTAAACAGTTCACTTCTTTTTACTAGTGCATTTTTAATCTATAGTAAAAGGTTTAATATATGGGATTCGTTCTTAGTCGTTAAAATATATACGAAAGCTTTCAATGGCGGCGTCCTTATCTTTAATATATTTCTTTCGAAGGTCACTATAAAATGGACAGATGAACACAAAGTGAATTTCATTTTCTATTTCTATATCGCATAACTGACAGATTCGTTTCGATTTTGCAATGGAATGTTTTCTTCCTTCATTTA